TTGCTTTTGTTTTGGAGCTCACTTACTCATTTGTTTAGTTTCTTACCTATAAAATGAGAATAATAACAGCAATGTGTTAATACCTCTGTGAACCTTAAAGGCGTGAAATTGCTTATTGCAAACTATCCTTCAGTCTTCTTGCATCATGCTAAAAAATCCTGTTATGTAAGGATTTCAAAGCCTACTAGGTCTGTAGAAAGAAGACATTTTAAGACTTCGGTTGTTGAATTTTGTACAGATTAACTTTGTCAGTTTCTTTTTTCAACTTGCAATTCTGACACATAAATGACTATGGAGGTTATTTTAGTGATAGAAAAGCTAGTTCTAAATGCTTGTATACTTCCTCTGTTCCCCTTTAATATCTTTTATGTATCAAGTTACTTGTCATTAGTAAATTTAACATATAATTGTTTCTGAATAATGTGATTCCTTTTTTCTCTTTCCCCACAGGCTGCTTTTGTCAGAGATGTTCTGTTACCAGGAGAATGGGATGTATGTGTAACATCTTATGAAATGCTTATTAAAGAAAAGTCTGTGTTCAAAAAATTTAACTGGAGATACTTAGTTATAGATGAAGCTCACAGAATCAAAAATGAAAAGTCTAAGGTAATGTGATAGTTACATGTGAAAGTCATTTTTGCCTTTATTTGAAAATGGGATCCATTTCAGAGTATTCTGATGATAGACTTTGGTTCTTTCAGTTGTCAGAAATAGTGCGAGAGTTCAAGACCACAAACCGACTACTGTTAACTGGAACACCTCTTCAGAACAACTTGCATGAGCTCTGGTCACTTCTTAACTTTCTATTGCCAGATGTGTTTAATTCCGCTGATGTAAGTATTTCTGGTTGTTTTCTAATTAACAGTACTGTTTAGTGCTATACGTTTTTATAGTAGACTTGCTTACCTTTCTTTCTGTGTGCTTCTAATCATTAGTTGTTTGTGCTTTTGTGTTACTAACCTGTTACTCATCTATCAAGTTGTCTGCATTTTGAGAATTTACTTTTGAGACTATTTCAGTCTCATTTCAAATCAGTTTTTCTCCATTTTTTTTTTTTTTTTTTAATTTTAAAAATAAAAGGAGGAAAACATTAACAGACAGACAACATTTTACAAAGTAGCAAAAGAACAGTTGTTTTCTCCATTTGGAATGGGACAACTTCTCACTTCTGTTTGGGCCTCATGTGGGTCTAGCTTTGTGTTTGGAGTTCTAGTGGAGTGTTACGTTTTCAGACTACTAAGCGCATTCTTGAATAAATTTTATGTACCTCACATTACCTGTGTTTTGAGGTTCAGAGATGGTTTTCATGTGTGGTAAGATCTGTCTAATCTCTTACAGTATGGTCTAACAAAGTTCATGAAAATCTGTAAAATTCTTCAGATCATTAGCACTAGTAGAAATAAACGGTGGTCACAGTGGTTAACTACTCATTGTACCTCGGAACATAATTTGTATATCAAGAGTGTGTGCTATTAGTAATGGTAGTGTTCTGCTGGGCCAGGACTCAGTTCTGAGCCTCTGCTCCCACCGCTAGAGCAGGGAGTGCCTGGGACCGTGTGCAAGAGCTCCATATTAGCGCACTCAGCGGATAGCTACAAAGTGTGTGCGTTTTGGTTTGTTGTGTTTGTTGTGTTTGTTTGGAAATAATAGAGAAAATTACAAAATGATATTTAAACTCAGTTTTGTTTTTATGTACTTTGTTGTTTTAGGGAGAATTTATTTTTCTTACTACATTGACGTTTTTGTTTATTAATCTCTATTAAAGCTTTGTTTTTGTTATAATAATGAATTATGAGATTGTGGTCACTCAAAGCAAATATACAAATATACCTTGAAGAGGTAAGGATAAAGAATGGTCTCTCTTTATTCAAATACTAATGAGATGATGTATACTTTTAGTGAGTTACTTAAAATTGATATTACTCTGGAAACTATATTTGAACGTTGTAATTATTCTTGTAGAGCTTGCTGAGTTGGCTGTGGTGTCTTATGCCTATAATCTCAGCACTCGGGAGGCTGAAGCAAGAGGATCACTGTGAGCTTAAGGCCAGCCTGGGTTACATAGCGAGACCCTGCCTCAAAAAAAAAACCTTTTTGCTATTTTAATTCTACTGTGAAACTTTGTTTTTACGAAAAATATGTAGGAAGTGATTTCTAAAGTGGTTTCTAAACTACTTCTAAAATTCGTGAAAATGACACCTGAAAATAGGAGCTAGAACTAAATGGTTTTTATGAATCACAACTCGGATATACTAATTCTAGAAATTGTCCTTCTAGGTGACATCACAGGGCACCATTAATATGATATTTTGTTTGTTTATATAGGACTTTGATTCCTGGTTTGATACGAACAACTGCCTTGGGGATCAAAAGCTAGTAGAGAGGCTTCATATGGTAGGTATTGTGCAGTACTATTAAAGCATAACTCCAGTGGGAAAAAGGGTGCAGTTTTACATTAGCTTGTTTTCCTGTTAACAGAAAGCAGAAGGGCTTTAGAATTGGGTTGTTTAAATTCTTCCACTTAACTGTCTGCTCTTATAATGGGCATAGTGAGTGATGCATGGTGGTTTCAGTGTTAGAACCTAAGGTGAAATGTTAGCTTAATGAAGGAAGAAAGTAATGTCTGAGTTCCAAAGGCATAGCTGGGGAAATGACTAACATAACCTTTAAGCTTCGTTCCATTTACATCTCATGGGAGAATCTAACAAGTTTACTTCCAAAAGAGCTAGTGATCTGTCCGTTGTTGTAGTGGCAGTGCGCAGTACTTTTTTGTGAGCGGAGGTGGTATTATGGCTTTGTTTTGATGCATGCCTCTGTTCCTGGCTGTGAAAGTTGACAAGGAAAAGTAGGTAGAGAAGTTCCTCTACTGGATCTTGAGGTCTCGATATGCTGGTAAGCAGGATACAGTAGGCCCTTGTACGCATGTCATAGGAGGTCCTTCATAACCCCTTGCTGGGACCTTCTGCATCTTGGCAGTTCGGTCTGGACTGTAGTGGAGGTGTGGGGAAAGAGTGAAGGTTTGCAGAAGGGAAGAGAAGGTTTCCCAGTGTTTTACAGTATTTGATAGCAGTCCTGGCACCTTTATGTATTAGGTGCTGCTCATAATGTGCCTCCAGTGTGACAACAAAAATGTCTCTGAATATTACAGGTGTCCCTGGGAGGCAAAGTCATGCCCGACCCCTTTGTGACCTAACCTTTTTAACACAGCCCCAACTTCTCTTTCCTTTCTTTACACATAGAATTTAGTTTGATAATACTGCTGACCTCACTGTCACTTTTCTGTAGACATTATAATTCCAGTCTGTTTATTGTTTTTGCTACATCTAGAATCCCCTTTCCTGAGTTTTTAACTAATCCCTAGCCCAAGACCTTGTGATAGCGTGTTCTTTATTGAACAGCTCTGGAGAAGCCGGCTAGATGCTTTTGTGTATTCTATTTTTAGTAATCTGAGCATTCTGACAATTTAGAACATTGTGTAGGGTGCTGAAATGATTCACAAGTGTTCCTTGCTAGATTTTAAGCACAAAGGTAGGGGGACAGATTTTACAGTTGTATACCTAGTGTAATGCTTGACTTTAATGGATACTTCCTATGTAAATCATAAGGTGCTTTAACATTCTGTGTGCTGAGATTTCTGGTAAATATTTGAAGGTGATCACCAAGGAACCTTTCTTTCTTTAGTAGGCATGCAGGTGTCTATCCCTTTGTTTAGATGTACTTACTCCAGGGTTGTGGTGGTGCACGCAGTCTTTGAGGGCCTGGGGGGTGGAGTCGCTTTATCACCCTTCCTGCCCTTTGCCCTTACCTGTGCACTCCTGGTTTCCTTTCACAAACAGCAGGGTCCTTAAGGTGAGACATTGAGACTGCCTGACAGCAGACCCTAGCAGTTCTGGCAAACCTGTTCCTTTTGTTCAGAGCAGTGTGAAGGGTTTTATCAGGCCAGAGAGGAGAGATCTGGTGGCCACTTCTGCTTTGTCCTGATCTTCACTCTCAAATTGCCAATCTAGTGGCTACGGTCCTGCAGTGAAGGGGAGATTAGGAGGAAGGTAACCTAATTGTCGGTTGTCTAATGCTTTAACCAACCCCTCAGTCTCCCACCTCGAGCCGCGCCTACAGTTTATATTTTCATAGTGGAAAGTGTATGGAGTGGCTGGGTGATTTCTTCATGGTTTTCCTTTGGGTTGACACGTAGCTGGGCAGCTCTAGAAGACAGCCGGGGCGCTCAGGGCCTGACCACAAGTGTACTAGATTGTATATACACAGTTAACTGAGCCAGTGTATCCTTACCAATTTCAAGTTTGTTTTGGAATATAGTCAGAGTTTTCATAAACCAGTATAACTAGAACAAATGAAGGTACAAATAAAAGTTGTTAGTTTTATAGGTATTTAAAACTTACTGTTATATACCACATGAATGTTTTACAAACAGGATGCATAAAAGGAATCAGTTATCAGTGGGAATATGTTGAACGAGTCCCTGAGTACAAAGTTAAAAATAACAGGTGAAACGAATGCATGGTGTTTAAAGTTAGAGCATTGCTTACTCGGGGAGGAAAGGGTGGAGACAGGCTGGGAGGGCACAGATGAGTCTGGGTGCTCTGTTTACCTGGGTGGTGATCATGGAGATGATGACGTAGTTATGTTTGTGTGAGGAAAACTGATTATACAGTCTTGATTTGTGTACCTTAGATATGGTCTGCTTGCACAAATTAAGATAGTAAATTTTAAAACTAACTGTAAAGAGCTGTTAGTGTGGACCGGGCATTTACTAAACAATATTAGACAATCTGTGTGCAAGTAATTAGTTTTAAACCTGAGAGGTAGTGAATGTTGAAATAGTGTACTATTTTTTCCATTCCATGTGAGTGTAGCAGATATATATAATGTACTGAATAAATAATGAAATTTTATGATTAGCCTCCAGGAACCCAGTGATAATAAGTTACATAGTTGGAGCAGAGAACCTGAAATGCACGTGACCATGTGTATTTAATAGACGATGTTAAGATTCGGAAGTCCTGTCGGTGTCAGAGATAAGGCCGTCTGTCCTTCCGTTCTTTCTCAGGTTCTGCGCCCCTTCCTGCTCCGTCGAATCAAGGCTGACGTTGAGAAGAGTTTGCCGCCGAAGAAGGAAGTGAAGATCTATGTGGGGCTCAGCAAGATGCAGAGGGAATGGTGTGTGCTCAAGGGTCCCCGTCACTGCCCCTCCCTCGGTGTTGGGAGCATGCTGAACTTGTGGTTCTGAAGTCCAAAAGCTGGTTTTGGGTTTAATTCAGCAAGAATGCATATAAAGCATGGGATTTTAAAGAGGACATTGGTGGTGTAGGTGAATTGGTGGTTTGTAAATATTGGGCAATGGATTTGTGCTAGCCTCTGAAGGAGTTGTAGATTATAGAGGAAAAACTTGAGTGCTTTTTCCAGTACCTCATAAAACATTTATTTAGACTTTTCCATTCTGAGCTGAAATTTTATTTTAGGCAGATTAAATGTCCTTTTGTGAAATGATGGTGATAATACATATAATACATAATTTTAAGCATCTTTATAGGACAAAATTTTAAAAATGAAAACCTAGGGTTTGTTTTTACCTAAAAGTTTTATAGGTATATGATACTTAAAAGCCTAGAAACCACTGACTTCGTTGTATTATTTTTTTTTAGTAGCTAGAAAGCGCCACATAACTTAGCAGTGTAAAGTGGCTACTGGAAAAGATTCTGTTACCTTGGCATAGATTGGTTGTAAGAGTAGTGTGCTCAGAGGAGGGAAATGAACTATAGCCCACCGTATTCTTCACTGTTCTGATACCATATTAAGTATATTGAACTCCATGCCTCTGAGAGTATTGCAAGGGGTTGGAGTTGAAAAGGCATTGAAAGTGCATTGGATATCATGGAGAGAACTGGGCGGTGTTGTCTGGGAGAGAGAGGTCTACTGCAGAAGTAGGCTGCCTTCAGTGTGCTCAAAACTGGAGAAAGACTTTCATGGGGTAGCAGAGATGACAGGTTTGTCTGTCTCTCCTTTACTGATACACACACACACGTGCATGTATATGTCTAACATAGGCCTGCAGCATGAGTCAGTATAAGTGAAGACAGGTCCTTTGATGAATCAGAATTTGAGTGAGCTCTGCCTTGAGTATTTCGTGCCCACAGGTGAAGTGTTGAAGGACAGATGGCTATGTATTTTGTTCAGTGGATCCAGAGTCTCACTAAAACTTCAGTGTTGAAACAAATGACTCATTCTTTCAGGAAAATGTCCAGATTTTTAGAATATATTAGTGGCTTTTTACAGTTTGGCCTACGCCTATGGCTTTCACCTCACAGACCTCGTATCTCCCCTCTACTATGTATTTCTGGTTAATTTAGATCAAATTGTACTGTACTTACCTTAGTGCCCATCTCTGATTCTTCCTGCCTCCCAGGTATTAGGGCACTTACCCAAATGCTGCACTAACTGCGTGGCGTGTAGCACCCTCATATCACGTAACGAAGGGTAAGTCAGAGAGCGCCATCTTAGATGACTTTGTAGCCCTGCAAACAGTGTATTTAACACAAACTAAGACAGCAAGAAAAGCACTAGGTGGTGTGACCTCCCGGGACCATTGCTGTGTATATGGCCAGCTGGCCGAGTTGTCATGTGCCTGACCATGAATGAGTAGTGGCTCTGATGTCGTGAAATACTGTAAACTAAACTTACACTTAATATCGTCATTTTAAGTTTTATTTAATTGTTTCAAAATAAATGTTTTATTACACTGCTTTAATCCTCTAAAGGAAACTGTTTTGTACTTTTAAAATAATCATGTCTTTAAGGCCCAGGGCATTTAAGTATGAACACTGAAGCACTATGGGCAATTAAAAAAAGCACTAGGAAACAGAGATTATAGGCGATACATTCTACCTTAGAAGTCGATGGATTGTTTCTTAGAGGTATTTTGGTTGAGGTAGGCCAGGGGATTAAAATGTGACGTGGGCACGGCTTTGCAGGAGCATGTGCGACCTCTTCAGATGTTTTTCTTTCCATAGGTACACTCGGATATTAATGAAGGACATCGATATACTGAACTCCGCAGGGAAGATGGACAAGATGAGGTTACTGAACATCCTAATGCAGCTGAGGAAATGCTGTAATCATCCGTACCTCTTCGATGGAGCTGAGCCTGGTCCACCTTATACAACAGATATGCATCTAGTTACCAACAGTGGCAAAATGGTGGTGTTAGACAAGTTGCTCCCTAAATTAAAAGAACAAGGTATCTGTGTTACTGGTATCAAGTGGAGATGTAATAAAACTTAAAATTCGAGTGGGAAAATGAACAGAACACTACGCTTTGAAATAAATCTTCTGATGCCTTCTAAAGTTGAAATGTGAAACACTAGAAGAATTTCTATTCTTTATCCGATTGAAGCTTCCCTGAACTGCCTAGTTTTAGGCCTTAAATCTCTTAGAAGGTGACAGATAATAAAAGCAGCCACAGTCCTTGGTTTTGAGGAGAGTTCTCATTTTATACGTGCTTTCCTCCAAATTTCAGCTTTCTGTCATAAAATGTGAAGACTGCGCCTTCATCTGTACGCAGTTCTCAGATCCTTCATTAGACAATACTGTTGTGCTTGTGATACTGATTTTCAATTCTTTGTGTGGCTTTAACATTCTAACTAAAATTCACATGTCGCTGGGCGTGGTGGTGCACACCTGTAATCCCAGCGCTCAGGAGGCTTAGGCAGGAGGACTGTCATGAGTTCTTGGCCAGCCTGAATTACATAGCAAGACCCTGTCTCAAAAAAAAGAAAAAAATTTTTTTCTGTGGACTCAAAACATTTTTCTTTAGAGCATCTGAGTTATTTTATTTTGAAAATGAGTATGTCAGTAATATGTGTTACAGGCATGTTTAAATCGTATGGATGTAGAGAACATAGTGTGAAGAAAGTTTCAGCAGTGATAACCAATATAAAACTTTATAGTATGCTTGCTTTTCTTTTCCTAGTTTAACTGAAGTAAACCCCAGGTATAGCATTTCTGTTTGGTTTTTTTGTTGTTGTTGTTTGTTTGTTTATTTATGGCACCAGGATTGAACTCAGGACCTTGTGCTTGCCAGGCAGGTGCTGTGCTGCTGAGCTATAGCCTCGGCATCATCTCATAAATCACTCACTATCTGATTCTTTTATTTAATTTTTTTTGGTACTGGAAATTGAACGTAGGACCTTGTGCTTGCCAGGAAGACCCTTGTGCCGCTGAGCTATATCCCCAGCCCAGTCTGGCTCTTTTAAAGATAGGAAACACCACTCTTACCAAAACTAAATGACTATAGCATCAGATACTTTTATATTTAAAATTTTTCTTTTTGTGTTTCACTATGTGATTTTGTTAGGAAAATAGACAAATCTTTGATACTACTATCAGAAATATATTGTGCAAGAAAAGGTAGGGGTGTACATCAGTGCTTACTTAGTATTTAGGGGGCCTTGGGTTCGATCCCTAGCACCACAGACAAAACAGCAAAAAAATGTTGTAAGACTTGTCCATCAGTCAGTTTACTTTTTAGTTTTCTTTTGTACCTTTCAAAAAAATACAATATATTAGACTCCATAGGGAAATGGAAAATGTTACACATTTTGAAGTGTAAAAGTGTGTCAGTCTCAGGCTCCGAGACAGGATCATTTCATAATCATTACTTTTAAAGATTTCTTTGTCACCATATATTCTAAAGAAGGCAGTCATAATTTGAATCATGGAAGGTAAGTGAAGGACTTTCAGGGTAGATGTAAAGCGTACATTTAAGGTCCTTTTGAGTTAAAATAGGTCTTTAAACATTCTAGAGGTGCAGGTGTGCGTTGTGGGATTTTTTTTTTTTTTTTTGAGACAAGGTTTTGCTACATAGTTCAGGCTGGCCTTGAACTCAGTGTGTAGCCCAGGCTGGCCTTGAACTCATGGCAGTCCTCTGCCTCAGCCTCCTGAGGCTTGTACCACCGCTCCTGGCCATGAAGATTATTTTTAAATATATGCGAGGTAAAACTTCAAAGAAACTAGCAAATGAGAAACTTCAAAGCTAATGACTGTCTCAGCTTCTGGGATGGCAAGACTTCCCAAATTAGAGAGAAACGGCCCGTTTCGTGTACCTCAGTGTACTGTCCAGGTCTTACCCTGTCTTTCTGTATTTCCCCTTCCCTCCTCTTTTCCTCTCTTTCCCTTCCTGTTGGGGCCACAAGTGGAGGTGGAGCGTGTGAGTAGGTAATGATGCCAGCTCTTCCTTTATAACTAGATAGGCGCGTAACTGGGAGTTAGGGGCTGATGTCTTAGTCCCGGTGTGGTTGTGCGCTGGCTTTCCTGCCTCTCAGCCTCCTGTAATGGACTGCTGTCCTCACTGACAGGCTCGCGGGTGCTCATCTTCAGCCAGATGACGCGAGTGCTGGACATCCTGGAAGACTACTGCATGTGGAGAAACTACGAGTACTGTAGGTTGGATGGGCAGACACCGCATGATGAGAGACAGGTGAGTGAGATTCTGGGGAGGGAAGAGTTTAAAAGTCAGATGAAGTCTTCTGACATCATTTTATTTTATATCCTCAGGACTCTATCAATGCGTACAACGAACCAAATAGCACAAAGTTTGTTTTCATGTTAAGCACGCGTGCTGGTGGCCTTGGCATCAATCTTGCTACAGCCGATGTAGTGATTTTATACGATTCAGATTGGAATCCCCAAGTCGATCTCCAGGCTATGGTAAGAGAGAACAAATACATTCTGTGCTTAGTAAGACGTTTCAGTTAAGGGAACCTAACCCTACACATGGCAGAGATTTATCTCTGTCCGTTCAGTTTTTTCTGAACTAATGGTGCAGTGAGAGCATTTGGAAGACCGCCTTCCTTGCCTGTGAGTCTCAGGTGTCCAGCGCACGGCCCAGCCTTGTGCCATACTTCCTGTGGGCAGGATGGGGAGGAGGGAGCTGAGCGCTGCCCAGGAACTGTGTGCCAGTCAGACCTGAAAGTGCTCTCACGTTGACCAGCCAGAACTGAGGTGCTGCTCAGCAGCCTACACGGGAATTGGTAAGGGAGAGTGGTTGTGTCCGAGGAGGAAGGAGAAAAGGATTTGGTGAGCGTCTAGCCTGTGCACTCAGATGCTGAAGTTTCATGCCAGTGTGTGGGAGTATCTGGTCAGATCAGAAAGATCATTACATTGAGAAAATTAATAATTGTGGATTAATGTGAAAACTTAATAGATTCCTAAGTTTGATCCTGCTAATGACTTGATCCATGATGTTCGTGGCTGTAAATCCAACTGTTAAATCTTTGGCCTTGGTCATTTTCATCCCGTATTCTGTAAAGGTAGCTGGGGAAAATGAGTGTGTTGAGCTGGGCATGGTGGTTCACACTTGTAATCCTAACACCCTGGGAAGCTGAGGCAGGAGGATTCCAAGTACTAGCCGGCCCTGCCAATTCGGTGACATAGCAAGATTCTGTTTCAAAAAAAGGGCTGGGAGTGTAGCTCAATGTGAAGACATTGCTTTCAATCCCTAGTACTACACTTATACACAGAAGTTAACAAAATGGCATTCAAATTAATTTTACTATTTGTATTTAGTAAATAAGGTAATATTTAAGGCAAGGGTTTTTATATTATGAAATTCCTTTTTTCATACCACTTCTTTCCCTTATAACATTAGAAAATAAGGTAGAAAAAACATTATGAATTAAAAAACCCAAGAAAAAAGATTTTCTGTACTAGGGATTGAACACAGGGCCAGTGACACTGAGCAGCATCCTCAGACTTCGTTTTTTATTTTGAGAAAAGATCTTGGTAGGTTATCTGTGCTAGGTTTATGTTCGGGATCCTCCTGCTTGAACCTTGCAGTCTGCTGGGACTGCAGGGGTGATTCACTATACCTGGCTAAGAGAAGAGTTCTAAAAATATTTTAAGAAAAACGATCAGGGTTTTCCTTGTGAGATAACCAGTAAGTTCAAACTGAGAGGTAAAGAAATATGCAGTGTGAATTTATTCCATTATAGGTTTTGGGTTACTTCTTGGTTTTTGAGACAGAGTCTTGCTGTGTTGACCAGCCTGTTCTTGAATCCACGGTGTCACACTGGTTGGCCTTGAAGTCTCGGTGATACGCGTGCCTTGGACTCCCACGGGCTGGGATTGCAGGGGTGCGCTACCACGCCTGGTTCCCAGCATGGTCTACAAGCATTGTACGAATTACTGATACGACTTCTAAAGTATATTCACAATAACGTAATTCACTTAGGACCGAGCACATAGAATTGGACAAACCAAGACGGTCAGAGTGTTCCGCTTTATAACTGATAACACCGTAGAAGAAAGAATAGTAGAGCGTGCGGAGATGAAACTCAGGCTGGATTCAATTGTCATTCAGCAAGGTGAGCCCTAGCACTTTAAAAATTCATTAAGTTGCGTCAACACCATCTTTTTTTTTTTAGGACATTGTTTTTATTAAGCTTCTGTTGTGTCACAGTGGCAGCCAACAAGTTACTTGTGTTCCAGAAATAACAAACGTTAGTTTTATTATTATGCTTTGGGCTCTGAAAAGCTGAGGTATGAGGATTGATTCTGCCAGTTAGCTGTTGTCTTCCGCCACTTGAGCCTCTTACACCGTCTGTTAAGTAGGGGCAAAAGTCCGTTCCGAAGTTTTAAGGAGTTGGAGGGCTCTGCCTAATGCTCAGCATGGTGTATGTTCAGTAGGGCTGTGGTGACTGTGATTTTGAAGCATTGTTGATTATTCTGGGCGGTACTAAAGAAATACCAATCTGCTTTTCCTCTTTTTTGTCAACTGCAACTGTTTATTGTCCCAGGACTGCTTCTGATGCCTAGAGATGCGGGGGTTACTGGAGCTGGCAAGTGTTCTGTTTTCAGGACCTTTTTTACAGCTTGTTGGGGGTTGCTCAGGGGAACAGAGGATGAGGGTGGGATTTCATTTTGGATTCCTTAAAGCTGACATGGCCTTCTCACTCCAGATCGGCCTTGTAAGAAGGACGTAATTTTGATGCCTGTGTTTTTGAAAACAATTATTAGGTTGCCTGCATTATTACCAATTGAAGATCATCTCTCCTTTATTGACGTTGAGTTTCTAATATGACAAAAATAAAGTCTCAAGAGTTTCAGTTTTTCAGATCAGTTCAGCTTCAGAAACTTAAAATATTTTAGTTCGCACACAAAGAAATTTGTGGAGTTTTCCTATGCATAGTTTTGGTATTGAAATCTGAATTATTTATTCCACACATGAATGTATTTCATTGAGACAATATACAGTTGGTGACATCACATAAAACAAATCCTAAAAACGTTTCAAGATTAACTGAAAGTTTGGCAATACATTTAAGGTAAAAATGAAAAGTGGAGACAAGGTTGTAAGGTATCATCTTAACATTTAATATTTCGTGTCTCCAGTGGGATATGGATCACATTACACAACACAATCTCTTTCAGGGAGGCTTGTGGATCAGAATCTGAACAAAATTGGGAAGGATGAGATGCTTCAAATGATTCGCCATGGGGCAACACATGTGTTTGCCTCAAAGGAGAGTGAGATCACTGATGAGGATATCGATGGCATTTTGGAGAGAGGCGCAAAGAAGGTGAGGTGGAAATGAGGTGACAGTGCTGCTGATTGGACGTGTTTTAGAGCAGAGTCCTTGTTTCATGAATTAATTCTTACTTCTGTGAAAAGCTTTTGTGTACTGTAGATTCTAATTCGCTTTTACTGTGAGTCTCATAGTTCTTTCTGTTCTTGTTCTCACTTGAATGATGCATTTTCTTGTGCTGTGTAGACTGCTGAGATGAATGAAAAGCTCTCCAAAATGGGTGAAAGCTCGCTGCGAAATTTCACAATGGATACAGAGTCAAGTGTGTACAACTTTGAAGGAGAGGACTACAGAGAAAAACAAAAGGTATTTCAGAAAGAGCGTTCTTTTGTGGAAGCTTTATCTTACTGGAAATGTGCACTTTCAAATATTCGATGTTACACCTTGTAATTTCATCTCAAGCAGCAGCCATTTTTATTTATTCGCATCTAAATCTTTTTCATTATGTAAAATTTGAAACTGGTTTTTCATTTGATAAAATCAGAAATACTATTAAAGTTTATATAATGAAGCTTATTGTATGTTGTTGAAACATTCTTGTATGGGTTGAATATAATAGTTGACATATTTGAAAATGAAAATGGCAAACAATTGTTTTAAGCTGCTTCATTAAATAAAAGAAGTAACAGAAGGAGAGTTTCTTAAATTTCATTGTACTTAGCAATAGAGAGATTGGAACATGCCGATGGAGTAGGAGAAAAACGAATTCTACCCAGACTTGCCCTTGTTGTCACTTAGACTACGCATCCTCAGGTGTCTTTCTAGGTTATGCATATCTCTGTATTTTCCTTCTAATCTGGGCGGCAGCATACACTGCAACGTTCCAGCAAAATTACTCATTTGGGCAGGAAGTGGTAGAAATTTTTCACCAGTTAGTAGACACTTAGGTGTTAATTACATAGTATTGCACAAAATATTACAGTCCTGCCCTTACAGAACTTACTGTCCAGGATTATGTCAGTATCTTTCATTTACCAGCATCATTCTTAATTGTGATTTGTTACTACATGTAAAAAAAGCTGGTGATTTGAATTGTTTCCCACATGCTAGATTGCATTCACGGAGTGGATTGAACCCCCCAAACGAGAGAGAAAAGCTAACTATGCTGTTGATGCGTATTTCAGAGAAGCCCTTCGTGTTAGTGAGCCTAAAGCCCCCAAGGTAAGTGTCTTTACAACAAAATAGAATTGAGTTCCTACGTTTCGTGTGAGTACCTACACCTTCAGTTTTAAGGTTTTTATTTAAAATTTGATTTGACAGTTCATTTTTATTGGGAGATGCTCTTAGTTGCTTGGAGAACTGGCTGTCTTGGTTTATGAAACCAGAGGGCTAGGAGGAGATTTTTATTATTTATTTATTTATTGTCATTAAAATCATTACCATATATTTTTAATAGATAACATTTAAAAATTTTTTTTTAGGCTCCTCGACCCCCAAAACAACCCAACGTTCAGGATTTTCAGTTCTTTCCCCCACGTTTATTTGAATTACTGGAAAAAGAAATTCTGTATTACAGAAAAACTATTGGGTACAAGGTAATTGAAATTATCTACTTTATGTCGTTTTCTATCCAGAATCCATGAAAAGCAGAAGCATAGTTGTTAATAATTATTTAATTTCAGCTTGGTAGAGAAGAATATTTGCCATACCTAGTGGTGCATGTTTAGTATGTAAACTTTTGATTTCATTACAGTGAAAGAAAAAACTTCATGACTACCCCCTTTTTAGTGTAGTAAATGCAGCTGTGTGTTTTCTTTAATAGTTATATTGAAACTTGAGAACTAGGGTACCAGATACTTGACTAGGAACGTCATTTACCACATGCTCTTCCAGTGTATTGATTGACGGCACAGGGAAATCTCTCTTAGGTACCTCGAAGTCCTGATCTTCCTAATGCGGCACAAGCGCAGAAAGAGGAACAGCTTAAAATTGATGAAGCGGAACCCCTTAATGATGAGGAGTTAGAGGAGAAGGAGAAGCTTCTGACACAGGTATAGTCTCATTTAACACAGAATTCAGTCACAGTTGGTTTTTTTTTTTTTTTTTTTTTTTTTGGTTTTTCTCCGGTACCGGGAACCGAACTCACGACCTTGCGCTTGCCAGGCAGGCGCTTTTGCCGCTGAGCTAAATCCCCAGCCCCGAGTCACAGTTGTTTTGTGAGTAGTGTGTTAGCATGTGCTCAGGCATATAAAGTAAAGTTTCCACGTTCAGGATAGAATAGTTGGAGATGATAAAGTATGGATAAATGGTGTATTTGGATTATCACTAGTTATTGAGAAGATTATAGGTCTGCACTTGGTTGAGTAGGATTCCTTGTGCACACCTTATGCTGGTGTTCTTATCCTTCTGTGAGTCTTTGTTGTTGCTACCAAGTTACCATTCTCAGTTATAAATCTCTGCTTGTGTTTTGTTTTGTTTTTGAGACAGGCTCTCGTTACGTAGTTCAGGTTGGCCTCGAACTCACTATATGGCCCAGATTGGCCTCAGTTCTCCTTATTGTGCAGAGATACTCCTGCCTCAGCCTGTGGAGTGCTGGGATTATAGGCGTGCACCACCATGCCCAGCTCTCTGGGGTACTTTTAAAGCATCCTCTTAGACTCATTCAAGGTCTTTCAGAATCTGTCCTTTAACCTACCTTTAAAGCTGTGCTTTCTACTTTCCCACTTGTTCATCTTTGTTTTTTATTCACTGTCCATGACTAATTCCTGTTAATCCTTCAAAGGTTGGCAGAGCTTCCCATGCAGCATTCCTGCTCCTCCCCTTCAGAGCTGGTAGCTCAGCTGTCTGAGCCATATATGTGGTGTTGCTCAGTTTGTAAGGGGAGGTTACCGTTCTAAAACAACTGCCGTTGGACATTTTTCTGTTGTATTGAGAAACCTCTGTAAAGGGTAATGGCATTTTTCCTCCAAATTTTCTGCTACTTTTTAGGGATTTACCAACTGGAATAAGAGAGACTTTAACCAGTTTATTAAAGCTAACGAAAAGTGGGGTCGTGATGATATCGAAAATATAGCAAGAGAAGTGGAAGGAAAAACCCCAGAAGAAGTCATTGAGTACTCAGGTAATTCCTTTATCATTTGCTGTGCAAGTTGCAGGGTGTCAGAGTGCTACTGAGAGTGTCTTGTCTTAATCTAAGTTACGTTTCAGTCAGCTGAATTTTTCCAAAACATCATGCCTTGTAAGCTTCTAAAGCAAGTTAGAACAGATCTATCCCTAAAATTACATAATTGGTGTTTTGAGTTTTAAAAATTTTATTTATTTTTTGATTGTTTTTTGTTTTTGTTTGTTTTGGAGATAGGGTCTTGCTAAGTTCTCCAGGCTGTCTTCAAATTTGAGATCTTCCTGCCTATAATCCCAGCAAGTTGGAAGGCAGGGGCAGGAAGATGTTAAGGCTTGAGCTGATTTTTCTTTATTTTTTAAATGTTAGTCATACAGCCAAGAAAGGCAGAACAGGTCGTGGAATAATTATTTAAATTTTTATGTACTTCCTCTCCATCAGTTCTTTATTTTTTTGGTACTGGGAACCAAACTCAGGACCTTGCGCCTGCCAGGCTGGCGCTGTGCCGCTGAGCTGTGTCCCACCCTCTCCAGTTCTTAACTGTTGGTGTGTCTGTGCTTCTGTTCAGTTGGCTGTGTGTAGTTATTTTGGTGAGTCTGACTGGAATGTTAGCATAACAAAATTTAAGCACTGGTGGATAAATCATTCAGTACCTCTTACATTCTTAAACTCTAGGAAATTGAAAAATTAACATTGATTTATTACTGTGTAGTGTTAAGTGTGGGTTAAGTGGAAATGTTTCTTAATCTTCAGCAAATACATTACAGCACTTTAAAAAGTTACTTCTATTTATACCCTCCCACCCTGTCTCATCTGTCCAACTTCTGCTGTTGTATAGCTGTGTTCTGGGAAAGATGCAACGAGCTCCAGGACATAGAGAAGATCATGGCTCAGATTGAAAGGGGAGAGGCAAGAATTCAGAGGAGAATAAGCATCAAAAAAGCACTCGATACAAAGGTACTTTGTGTATTAATAAATACTACAGTTAATGTGCCTTCTGTCATGAGTTAATTTTTTTAAAGGAAAGCAAATGAGGGTTTAAAATTAAAAATTTCTTCAAAGAGAAACATTGAAAAATTGTAAATGTTTTCGGTATCATTTATTTGTCTTTGATTTACCATGTCTGAGGTGCTAGCTAGGATTCTGATCCCACTTTTGAGTCTGTTTCTTTTTGTAATAACAATGAACACAAGCCAGGTTTGGTGGCACATGCCTGTACTCCTAGCACTTGGGAGGCTGAAGTGGGAGGATCACTGTAAATTCGAGGCCAGCCTAGGCTCCATTGTCAGGCCAGCCTGAACTACACAGCGAAACTTTGTCTCCAAAAAAAGAAAAATAATGATTTAAAGATCTTGTAGGCAAAGGGTTATAGAATGTAGTTGTGGTTATCTGGATAGAAAATTCTGACTTTTTAAAAACAGCTTCTATATCATAATTATAGTAAAACTGAGTGTGAAATAGATTATATAGGATTTATATTTCATACAGTATCTGACTTTTATAGATTGGACGGTACAAAGCACCTTTTCATCAGCTCCGAATATCATACGGTACTAACAAAGGAAAAAATTACACAGAAGAGGAGGATCGCTTCCTGATCTGCATGCTTCACAAGCTTGGATTTGACAAAGAAAATGTATACGATGAGCTGCGACAGTGTATCCGCAACTCTCCTCAGTTCAGATTCGATTGGTTCCTGAAGTCCAGAACTGCCATGGTGAGTGCTCCAGGTCTGCTGTGTAACGCAGCAGCGCCCAGCATGCGGTGTTGGGGTTTGTTTTGTTTGTGTTTGTTTTTCTGTGGTACTGGGGAGTGAATTCAGGCTGTGAGGCTAGCCAAGCACTCTTCGATATCAGTGTTAACCAGGTTCTGCAGAAATTTCAACATGTTCAACTTCTGAACATGACGATGCTCTTGGTTTTGCAAGTGAGCAGATTTGTGTAGAGAAGATGAGGCATGTGCACATCGGATGGCGTGCTCGTTTTCTTGTGTGTTTCATTACCTGTGAAGTTGTCGCTTCAGCTTCTGCTCTGTAGGGTGATGACAGTGCTGTAAGGCTGTACTGGGTGAGCAGGGTTTAAACACCTTAGTATTTATAGCAGGAGCTCGTGTACTTACATCTCTCGTAAGATCACTCTGTACTTGGCGTGTAGTATCACAGTACTACATTTGACTGAAAATTCTTCAGAAGGCAAAACACTCCGTAAATATATAGGTAGATGAGTGATTGCTGTAAGCCCTCCTGGTATCTTTTTAAATAGAAGCAGCTTATTTAGTTCATCAGGGATAATGATTTTGTAGAGACTGTATAGCCAAGTGGTGGTGCGTGCCTTATAATCCCAGCACTGCAGAGGCTGAGGCAGAATGTTTGCTTGAAGTGCGAGGCCACATAGTTCAAGGCCAGCCTGAAGTCCATAGCAAGACAAAAAGTCAAAAATAAAAGAGAGTTGATGTCACTGAACACAGTGCATGGTATCAAATTGAGTTACTTCCTAACATGTTAAGGCACACAGAAAAATCTTAATACTTAGGCCACTAGGGTGATCACTGGGAGATAGCCCTCATCCAGGAGCCCACAGGGTTCAAACCTCAGCCTGCCTGTCACACATCGATGCTGTGTAGCCACAGCGCTCTGAAGAAGGGAAGGAGAGCTTCGGTGCTGTGACTTCCTGTCTTTGTGGCGTCTGTTTCTTCTGTTTCATAAGCACTTCCAGCGTCTGTGATGGGCGTCTGCAGAGGCTCACTCATTGCAGACACTGGCCCTGTGGGGGCCCGAGCTCCCCGCCCGGTTACACAGGTGCACTGCTGTCGTGTGGAGTATTGAAGCTCTAGTTGGTTTTGATCCTCAAGTATGTGTATTACTAACTTAAAAAAAATTGGTTATTAGTAGTATGGAATTCTCAGGCACAGGCAGTAAGTTACCAGAACTGGGTATAGGATAAGACTTGTTTGCACTGTTGTAATTCTTAAGAAAATGGACGTTATTATGAATAGTGCACAACAACATGGTTTTAAAAAATGACACAGAAACATGAAATAACCTTTTTTTTTCTTTTTGAGATAGGGTTTCACTATGCAGTTCAGGCCGGCTTTAAACTTGCTTTGTAGCCCAGGCTGGCCTCAGACTTGCAGCAATCCTCCTGCCTCAACCTCCTGAGTGCCAGGATTATAAAGTCCTCGTGGCATGGCTTGTATATGAAAATAGGTTATTTTGCTTGTCTTTAATGTCTGGGTGGGGATATAGAGTGGTTTTACATCATCTCTTGAAACATGCCTTTGTTTAATGATTGAAAACACGACAACTTGCAGGTGAAAATTTAGGTTTATTGTGTGCATTTATGATTCTGTTTATAACTCAGGAGCTGCAGAGAAGGTGTAACACCTTAATTACATTGATTGAAAGAGAAAACATGGAACTAGAAGAAAAGGAGAAGGCAGAGAAAAAGAAACGAGGACCAAAGCCTTCAGTAAGTTCTCATGAACATGGTGATGCGCAGGTTATGAAAATTTCACTTTTTACTTTTCAAGGCAGGGTCTTGCTGTGTAGTTCAACCAGGCTTTGAACTCACTGTGTAGTACAGGCTGGCCTTGAACTCACAGGGACCTCTTGCCTCAGCCTCCCAAGTGCTGGGATGACAAGTGTGTGCCATCATGCCTGCCTTGTTTTGTTTTTGTAAAGAAAATAATTATATCACTGAAAGTCTAAAAATTTAACTTGATTGCATTAGGAAATCACGTTATAGTGAGGGTTTCTAAGTATCTGGGGTAGTATGTGTGATGTTTTGCATGCTTTGGGGAATATAAGTCATAATTTCAGACTAATTCAAGGATTATTAGGGAAACAGTGACTTTACAACCTTTACTGTTAGCTTCTGAGCTTTGGTTTATTGTCCCAGTAATGTCTTAGCTATGGGAAGGGAAGGAAGCATTTTAAGGAGATTAAAGTTAGGTTGTTATTTAGTGGTATACATTACTTGGATTTGTTTGGAAAGAATTCTATATTCTGGGAGAAAAACACTGTACTCTTGTTATGAAGCAGTTATTGCTAAAACACTGTGTTGTGTTTATGAGTTTATTGCGTTTTGTAGTAGTCTGATCATAACAAGGTATCTTTCTGCTTCTTTGTAGACACAGAAGCGTAAAATAGACGGAGCACCTGATGGTCGAGGAAGGAAGAAGAAGCTAAAACTATGAGTGCATATTTGTTTCATAATCACTAACTTTAAAACAGTAGTTCTTTATTTTACGGGTCTTCATAAGATGTACTGTACACTGCTCAATTGTTGTGTCATTCAGAGACATCAGGTTCATCTGTTTACTGAGCTAGAGATATAGTATGTACTTTCACTTTTTTTAAATGGAACAGCTGTGCTGAAATTTTTTTTATCATTAACACTTGTAATAAAATAGGCTTCATTTATTAATAAATGTTTCATTTGATTTATTTTTCTATTACAGTTTCATTTGTGAAGGTTGTGACTTTTGTTTATCAGCCGTCATTTTTACACTCATAAGGCTTAAAAACAAGCAAACAAGTAAAACATTACAGACAGTTATCCTGTCAGTCTTCATTAGTTATGTAAATGTTGCGGTTCACTTTGCCTTTGCAGAAATTTGGGTATTTTCTTTGTAGTGCTATTGAGTCTCATCTGGAAAGATTATGTAAACTGAATTTTCCTTGCTATTATAGAATGGGGCAAAGGCAACACAAACTACGATTTCTGTGTACACTTGTGTTAAGCTTTCTGTTTCTGTGGCTGCTTCTGAAAGGAACGTGCCCTATTATGTTGGAAGAATGGCCTTTTAGTTGTAATAGCCAAAGACATTTAGTATTTTCTGGTTCTTTAAAGTGTTGCACCGTTTTGTAAAAGGAATTTTTTTTTAAGTATGTGGTAAATATTTTGACAAATAACCTTCTGAAGCAGCCACAACTTAGAAGGATGTCAGAAGTAAAATGATTTTTTTTTCTTATAGGAAGACCCAGCCAAAATAAGGTGTGAATTTGTCATACTATTAAATTGGTAACAACTTGTACCCCTTTCCAGTTTATAGTATTTTTGAGTTAATAGAATAAAGGAAAATTTTATTTTATTATATTTTAAAATAATTTCTAAATATTAGCAGCAAGACTGAGTATAATACAGTTTTTATTTTCTAGGGAACAGACTTGATAAACTGGAGACCCGGAAGCAGGAATATCCAAACTGTAGTATCAGGATTTTAGCTGTACCAGAAGCCTTTATGTGCTACATATAATTTGTATAAAGTTTTATATGTGCAAATTGGGTAAACAGTTCTCCATTTTTCTAAGGGAATGCAATAAATGTAGCATCGTGAATAAATATAACTTTTATAATCCTTAAAGTGGTCTTTTCTTTACATTTCTTTCAATTTTTACTCTCAATTCTTTGCTTTTTCCTTGGACATTCTCTATTAGGTTTCTTAACTTTCTGTTTTAATCTGAACACATGTAATTGAAAATTCTGACTTGGCAGTATTAACACTAATTTTCTGAAATGTGGGATTGCTGCTGTTAATGTCATACAACACAGTCTTCACGGTAAGTTGTAGACTAGTTTGAATTCATTCCCTGGCCCTCTCAAAACTGACTTCTGTGCAATGCAGGCTTCTTAGATAATAGAATTCTGACTTCATTTTGGAAAAATAATTGAAAAACTGTAAAAACCAAAGAAAATACCAATGGTGATTTAAAGTGATATTTTTTTCAGAAGAAGAGAAATTGAGAGGCGGCACACGGTGGAAATGCAGACTGAATCATGCACAGCGCAAACCCATGAGAGTTTGAAGACTCCTGTAACCAGAAAGTGGTATAAAGAGAATGCGACTTGAGGAAAACATGCAGATGATACCTACGTTGGCAGATATTTGTGTTTTAGGGGTCAGTTTGCACATCATTTTGCATGTTCATTTAGAGTGAAGTAAAGCCCTGTTTTTATTTACTACTAATTAAGGGAAGGAGAAATGGTAAGTGCAGAATGTCCATGTGTCTTACAAGAGAGATTGGCGGTGAAGAAAGCCTCAGAATTGGACACTGATAGAGTGAGTAGGGCCTGAAGCCAGCCTAAAAACATTTTTTGCATGGATGACCAGGTTGCAGCAGCCTGTTACAGAATATCCCATGTAGTCACTGAGGAAGGTTTTAAATGTTACTTCTGTTAGGAATGTAAATTTTGCCCATATATAAAATGGTAGTTCACACTTCATGTTAACTCAAATGTTAAAACTTGACACCTCCCCACCCCAAAGATAATGGACAAATTTCCAATTACTCTTGAAGTTGTTCTTGGGTAGGAAGAACCAACATTGTCAAAATGACCATACCTTCGAAATTATTACGCAGATTTAATGCAATCCCAATCAAAAGAGTATACCTCACAGAATTAGAGAAAATAATCCTGAAATTCATTTGGAATCAGAGACCTAGAATAGCAAAGGCCATTCTGGCAACAGAGGCAAGGCATAGTCCCTGACTGGAAATTATGCTACAAAGCTATCATGATAAAAATAGCATGGTACTGGCAAAAAAACAGATCCAGGGTTCAGTGTAACGGAATAGAAGATGGAGAAACAACTCCAAACAGCCATCTCATCTTTTGACAAAGGGGCCAGACACCTTCACTGGAAGGAAGATGCCTCTAATAAATGGTGCTGGGAAAGCTGGCTTTCCCCATGCTGAAGACTGAACCTAGACCCATCTCAGCGTGCACTACACTAAAAATAGGTCAATGATCTAAGTATCAAACAATCTGGTGGAAGGTAGAATAGGTAGAGCTCTTGAAGACTGGTAGGCAAAGACTTCATGAACGAACCTGGACTGCCCAGGAAATATTAAAAAGAACCAACTAGAATCTTGTCATATTAAAAAGCTTTTGCACAGCAAAAGAAGCCACCTAAAGAATGAAGAGATGACCCACAGAAAGGAAAAAAAAATTTACCAGCTATTCCTCAGACAAGGGATTAATGAATATATAAAGAACTAAAAAAAAAATGACCACCCCCCAAATTTGAAGATTGAGTAGTGCCTGAAGCCAGTCTAAAAACATTTTTTGCATGGATGACCAGGTTCCAGCAGCCTGTTACAGAATATCCCATGTAGTCAGGAAGGTTTGGATTTTTGCCCAATCCAAAAATGGGCATCTGAAATGAGCAGATACTTCTTAGATAAACAAGTACAAACTGAAATACATGAAAGAATGTCCAATATCATTGGTCATATGAGAGATGCAAATTAAAACAACAGATTCCATCTCAATAAGGAATGGCTATCAAATCAACCAATAACATGCTGGTGAGGATGGAGGGGGAAAGGAACCTTTCTCCACTGTTGGGAGTGTACTGGAAATTCTTCAAAAAGCTAAAAGTAGAGGTTCCATTTGACCCAGCTATCCCCTTTCTAGGCATCTTCCCCACAGAGTTAAAAGCATCATACCACAATGATATATGCACACCCATGTTTATAGGAGCATAATTTATAATAGCTAAGTATTGGGAACAGCCCAAATGCCCATCAGTGGATGGATACAGAAAATGGTTTTACATACAGTAGGGCACTAGTCTGTCATAAAGGATAAATGAGACATATTTAGGTAGATGGATGCACCTTGAGACCAAAATTTCTTGTGAAATAGATACATGCTTAAATATTGCATTGTTTCTCTTGCATGAGAAACTGAAAGGGTAAATAAGGACCAAAATGGATAATCGGTGTTGGAAAATAGAATATGTTCAAATGGGAAGGTGTACAAAAGAGGGTAAGAGGGAGGGGAAGGGAAGAAGAGGAAAAGAAAATGGAAATAAGGCTTTTGTAGATAAGAAAAGGGTTGGAGGAAGGGAAGCAGAATGGGGAAAGGATATGTTTTCTACAGGTACAGATTTCCTATGATAAGTATGATTATATCAAAAGTGCCAATAAAATTTTAAAAAATGGCCTTATTCATTTAATAATGAATGTATTTATTCCTCTGTAGAATGGTAGTTGAAACCGCACAGTGGGGAAAAAACCAAAAAATTTGAAAATAAAAATGTTGAGAGAAAAAAATCCTTTCTGATCTTAATGTGATATATGCTGTGTTTTAGGTGTCAAATCAAAATGGAAATCTTTTCAAGTCATGCATAATGAATCTGGATTATGCCAGTTTTATTGCTAGAACAAATGTTGAATGTATGAATTTGTTGGTGTGTATGCAATTAAGACATTTATTCTACCATACTATTTTGTCCTTACATATTGTGTATTTTAGTTACGTTTATTGTTTCTGTGTTACTAAGAAAAGCAGTTTTTAAAAGTCTCATAATAAAGGAAAACGTTGCTGGATGGCGATACCTCTACACGACGTCCAGGCAATTCAGCCTTCTCTTTGGCTTCGTGTTTGTGCTTCCTTCAAAAAACACCCATACTGATCACCACAGCCTGACTTCTGCGGTGGGGAGAGGGATGTCTCTGGCACGCTGAGCATGTGCCCTACCCCTGGCTACCCCAGCCCTGTCACACCGTTTCACCCTGCTTTCACCTGCGCTGGTGGGCTATGAACTAGTTTTCAGGCACGTTTACCAACATGCAAAAGATCCATTAGGACATGCTGGCTGGCTGTGTATGTTCTGTACTTAAACCAAAAGCAAACAAGCAACAAAAAACTTCCGTCCGATCCTTTTCCTCCTTTCTGCACAACTGAAAGAATCATCTCGGTGCTTTGCCTTGCCCTTCCCTTTGCCTCTCACATCTTCACCCTTCAGCTGCCAAGCCCTCTGGAAATGATGGGGCACTTAGGGCTTGATCCAGTGGTCTAACCACTCCTTGCTAAGTCTAGATACTGACTGTGTCTTTCTAGTTAGCACTTTCTTCGGCCTGGGCATCGCCCGCTTCTCACGTGCCCCTGAGCACTGCCCCTGAGCCCGTGGCCAGCTCCGCAGCCTTCCCTCTGTGCCCAGCGCTGTGCTGGCTCTCGGCACTTTCTCACCCTCTGAAGACGGTACCGCCACAGACGCTTCTGACTCCCACACTCACTTGTGGCCAGGCTTCTCCGCTCCACGTCTTGTTTCACCTCTTCACCTGTCTACCACGCACCACTCCTTGAGAAGTTACAGTCCCATGAACTCAGAGTCCTCAGGATCTAACTCGGCTTCCCTGCCGGCCTTTCTCACCTCGGTGAACGCTTTCACTCTTCTGCTGCACTAGCAAGGGGCTTCAGAGGCGCCCACTTCCCTCTTACCTCCTGCACCACCCTGCCGTGGGCGGAGCTTGCCCATTTGGCTCTAAAAGTAACTTGCTTTCCTCCATCTCGGTTTGCACTACCTAACCTGCCCCTTTGCATGTATTCCCGGGACCCCTATGTGCGCTTCTGTCGCTCTGCTTCACCGCGGCCTCGGTGCACACCATTCTCAACAGTCGGCTGCTGTCTGCAGAATAAAGCCTGAGCTCCCAGCATAGCTTCCGAGGCCCTTCTCCGCCTGGCCCATACACTTCCCAGCCAGACCTCCGACCTCTGCCCCTAGGGAAGAGTGCACCTCGTATGCTGGCTGAGCTGAGTATTCCAGCTCGGCTCTGTTCACACGGTCCCCTTAGCCGGGCCTCTGGACACCCACCCGCCACTACCTGTGTACCCAGCAAACTGACTCCGCATGGGGTCACCTGGCTGCTGCCCTTTCCTCACTTTCTGTGCCCCCACCTTCAGTGCTGGCTGCTCTTTTGGTACATTACACTGAATTAGGAAATGTGTGTAGGGCTCTTCCGTGACCAGGCCCTGTGTTCCATTAGGGAGAGGGCTGCATCCCACAGATTGCTATATTTCTGTGCGTCCATGCAGAACATGAATAAATGTTCCATAAGTACCCGTTGAAGTGGATTAGATATTAGAATTGCTCCACCATTTACAAAATTTCCTACTGCCCTGTTGGTCTTTGCCACCTTTTAAAATTTGCATGTGAGTGACAGGCATTGACCAGAATGCTAAATAATTGTCTTATTAAATCACTATGAACAGGGTCCAAGGTCGGGACTTTTAGGATCATTTTTGTCTCTCAGATGAGGAAAAAGGCCGATAAGGATGGGCTGAATGTCCTGAGGTTGCACAGCTCTTGAGGCCTGCAGCTGGGATTTGAACCTAGGTGCTGTGGCCCCGAGTGTGCATGCTTAGCTTTTGTACCTTGTATCACCCTTAGAAACGCCAGCAGGAACCTGGCTCTCCTGTGTGCTTGGCTTCTGGGCACTTGCATGCTTAGCAATAATTATGTTCTGTGGACAAATGAGTCAGTGGGAGCCTGGGTTTGTGTTACCCTGTAAGCCAGACACCTGCTGGCCTCCGGCCTCCTATGCTAGGGTTAGTCCAGCACCTGCTCCAACTCTT